ACAACGTACGTTTCATACACCGTACGGGCTAATAATATATTAATATATGTATCTGTTCTATTTTAATTGTATATGTGTTTGTATATTTTACAAACACAAGGCTGCTGCTTGCCAAAATTGAGAAAATATATATTAATGTAGTTGTGTATAAGACAATATTTCATGAAAGATTCTACTTTTGGTATATATTTTGACTCATTTTGAGCTTTCGCTACATTTTGTCAACATAATAATAGTGTTGCTTCAAACTTTATGATAAAACCCAATTTTCTAGGCGTGTATACAAATAAAAATAGTAAGTTTATACTATAAATGAGTTTATTTTACCTGTATCGGTTTAAATTCGCTGTTAAGTTGCACATAATTCTGTTTGAGAATGCAATAATTGGGCATTTTGCAACCAGGGCAGTTTCAGGGCAGTTTTGGCCTTGTTGGGAAATCCACTAGGCCTTCTATTTTTGCCAGTCTTTTCATGTGAAAAAGCGCTGAATATTAAAAAAATAAAAATAAAAGGCCTAGGTCTAGGCTGGAAGATATACTGTATACACTTATTGATTGAAGCCAGATTGAATCACATGGAAGAAACTCATCACTTGTGGCCAGCTGTCTATGTATGTTACAATGAAGTTACTTGAAGTATTAACGAAAATTATTTACAGACTCTTCGAAATGAACTAGCCAGAAAATCAAAGGTTTAAATGTAACTTTACTAATGATTAACTAAAGATAATCATCATTCTAGTCATCTGTTCATATTATTAAATAAAATATAGCAGCAAAGCTTTTAGAAGAGTCAATCGAATAAAGAAGGCAATGCCAAAAAATCTTCGATAATTTCATTTTCGGCGGCATTATCAGCGACAATTGCCGTTTGCCATCGCTAATTTCGAGGACTGTCAGTCATGGTAAACGGCATATAAGCGACGGGGAGAAGACCCATGTCTAATTGTCAGTTTACCCGATTACAGATGACTTGAAAAAGTTGGGGGGGAAAAGAAACAAAGTTCTCAAAGACAATCTTAATACTTTGATGACTGCGGGAGATAAAGAATTTGTCGAAACTTGGAGAAAAAAGAACGTCAAGATGCCCACTAAACGACCAGTAGAGAAAAAGATTGAATCGAAATCAAACACTAAAAAGAAAGCTACAGGCCTAGGGAACCTGCCAGTCGTCACCACTACTCAAGAAATTGTAAATGTTCCTGATGAAAGCAATAACGTTTCAAATATTTCTCCTGTCAATTCTCCTGTCACTGCCATGCGACCTCTAAGTCCTCGCAACCACCTTGCAATGCAACCACCAATGCTTCGACAGTTCTATCCATATCTGCTATTTCATCTATTTTACCTGCAACCGTTGTTTCATACGACAATCTTTCAACTGCTGCACCCATTATTCCTTCCTTGTCTATTAAGTTAACTCTGTTTTACATTCTTCAACTGTTTTTTCATCGTTCACCACTCTTCCATCATCGTACAGTTCAAACATACATCCTTTTGTATCTGTTCCAAACCACAATTATGAATCTATTTTGCCCACCATCACATCGCCTTTAGCTTCTGTGGCGCAAAGTTTAGCTGCCTCGAACGATATATTTTCTGTTCTTCCTTTGGTGGTGAGAGTCTCATCATCTTTTAATTCCACTGTTCAATCATCTCTCCCAACTTTGAGTTCTAACGTACTACCCGTAACTCCTTTAACCCTCGGTGTAATATCTGATCATAACATTCTACGTTTTTAAGTGAGTTTAAATCGTCCTTTCAAACTCTAATGCTTTTTCTTTGTCATGGAATACCTGTAGTCCTTCCCTTAATAATCTCTCTTTTGATTCGGTTGAGCAATCAGAGCCCTGGGTTTCTACTCCTGTTTAGTTGGGTTTTCCAACCGGATTTTTTGATCCACGTTCTCGCGGTCCAAATAATTTCGACAACATTTTGCCTGGTCATGCAGAACACCCACCAATAATTTACCAAATAAACAAGAAAATGGATGGCATTTCTCAAAAAGTTGACGCGGCGTTGGCGAATCAACGACTCATCATTGACTGCCTGCGAAACAACGGCTTCTTGAACCGTCTTTCCAGTACCAGATCGTCGGTCCCTGAAGCAGCTGGGCAGAATCGGATCAATTTCATTATCCACCTGACGAATCACAACACTATGTTGGAAATGTATACATGTTCACGGAAAAGAACTTACAATTGCGGAACTCGATGCTTTGAGGAACTTCGAGAAAAAGAGAGGGACAACAGTCTCGTATTTTGCAGTGTTTCTATTAAAGGAGTACACGACGCCTGAAGAGCGCATGAACTGTACTGTCTATGGAGAAGGGCCCAAATCAAAAGGATTACATACAGATACTTTGATGAAAATTTGAAAAGGCTACGAACGCTTTTATTGGAACGAGTCATGGGCTAATGCTATAAAGGCTATGAACAATCACATGAGAAAGTACTGTTCTACAAAAGATCCTGAATAACATTTTTCGTGTAATCGCTATTAAACCAGTCCTTGTCATTGCATGCCCGTTTCCAATCTGATGGGATCGATACTTGGACTCTGTGACTACATTTTATGACAATTTTATGAGCACAACACGAAATTAGCTGAAAATGCTTGCATGACCGCGGTGGGAATCAAACCAGCGACCTTTGGTTTCCTATAGTTGCGTTATAGTTAGGGGTGGACTGGAACTCGGAACCCCGCTTTTCGGAACTCCGGTTCCGGCCGGAACTAATAGAAAACGCATAGCCGGAACCGGTGCTCTGTTATTTTCAGAGAGATATCAAACGTTATTGTGTCGAACAAAATTTCACAGTAGCATGAAATTTGAACAAGGAAAATACCATTAACATTTCATGATGTTTAATTAACGTTTGTCAATCTTTTTATTCTAACATTTGCGAGCTCTCTCTTTGATGACTTGAAGTGTCTGGCAGTAGACACAGTAACATATGACTATATACTGTATAAAATAACAGTAACTCCGAATAACATTTTGATTTTTAATCGACGTTTCGACTAGTTTGTAGTCATCCTCAGGATTAATAATAGTGTAAAATTACAGATGCAGCTATTATAAAGCCAGAAAGGCGGAGCTTAAATGCCAG